AAAGATATATTCCAGTTTATTTATAAATATAATCATAAAGTAATCTGATTATTAATAAACATATTCATAGCTTATTCAGAAAATAATTAAGATACAATCCGATTATTATCAAGATATATTCCAGTTTATTTATAAATATATTCATAAAGTAATCTAATTATTTTATTAATAAATATATTCAGAAAATAATTATGATACAATCTGATTATTATCAAGATATATTCCAGTTTATTTATAAATATAATCATGAAGTAATCCGATTATTAATAAATATATTCAGAAAATAATCATGATACAATCCAATTATAATTATGAAGTAATCCGATTATTAAAAATATATTTATATTTTATTCAGAAAATAATCATGAAACAATTAAGATATATTCTGATTACTAGTAAGCTATATTCTAAACTAATCCTATATAATTGGAATAGTTCTGGAGTATAAAATATATAATACATTCCAGAAAATGCTCATATATCAGGGTTAATATCTGATTATTTTCAGAATATTTTCATAAAACAGGAATGTTTCCAGAGTATAACAGCTAATATTTTTAGAATATTTTCTAATATTACTAATATAATAATTTGGAATATTTCTAGAATAATAATTTGGAATATTTTCAGAATATAATTATTTTTTTTTTTTATAGGGGCACTGTGAACACTTAGAAACCTTACAAAATATCCTTAATGATACCTCCACACTATACAAACTTAACAATATTGAAGTTAACCCAACTAAGTCTGATTTACTTCATATTCTTTCTAAAAACTTCAAAGCAACAAATTATACATTTACCTACAACAACCAAATAATTACTTCTGGAAAACCTGAAGATATAATTAGATATCTAGGTATCTTTTATGATGATAAAAGATTAACCAAACTAACCCTCAGTATACTATACAACAAAATAAAAAATTTTCTACTGCTTATTATATACAAAAAACTTTTACTCTCTTAAATTTCCTTACTTTTCAATCTCATATTGCAACCTTCTTTAGAATATATTCTTCAAATCATACCTATCCAAAAAAATAAACAAACTAAACTTTCTCAACTACTATCTATACAAACAAAAAAAATGCTCTCTTTAGCCAAAAATACCAACATCTCACTTACCAACCCACTCACTTTCAACCTACCTACTCTTACTAATATAATTCAAAAAGTTAGCATATCTAATACTAAATGCACTTTTAATATTTTTTCACTTCGTCATAACATTGGTATTCTTTGAATTAAATTCTGGCTATCAAAAATTTGGTACCCAAAACTTATTGAAGAAACACTGCTTATATATTTTTGTAAAACACAAAACTATACTCTTCTTTTTCACCTTGCTTAACTAGCGAGAAATAATATAACAATCTCTTTATTCTCTTCAATTACTAGCTATCCTACTTTTGTTCCTAAATGCACATACTTAATTTACAACATACTCTCTCCAACCTCTAATAATTTTACACTCAATAGTCTCAAAAATAACAGAATTCTATTTATAAAACAAATTACTCCCTTGAAATAATATTTATCTTCGTATAAACAAAACAACTAGAGGTCATCAACCTTCATAGTTTACTCACCTCCTACAAATGATACAAACCAACTTTCTTCAGACTACATGGCCCCAACTTCAACTACCTTCAATAAATAGCTTTATTAATACAACTAACTTAATACCTACCAATTTTTCAATTCAACTTCTTTCTAACAATCAAGATATTACTTTTCTACATTATAACAAATATCAAGAAACCTTAAGTTATGAAATTTATCAATTAGCAGAACCACTCAAAGGCCAAATAAACTTAATAAAATCTGTTAACCCACTACCAAGCTTATAAACCTTCTACATAAACAAATCAAGTTTAAAAATTCTTTATTACAAATTGATTACAAAGAAATTCTTGCTATTATTGACATTGCTAATAATCTCAAACCACCCCAATCTTCTCTCTTTGCCAGCCACAAATTAATATTCTTTCTCGTGAAATATACTTAATACATCATATTATTGAATTCTCTTACTATCAAAACCAGCTTATCCAAATATATAACAATATATTAGATTTAAATTTATCTAACCTTCAATTTGCCACAAATGTCTCTATCCAAAATTTTCAAACTACAAACATACAAACTAGCATAGGATGAATCTGTAAAAATGACTCATCTATTAAGTTTAATATAGCAATTACTTCTTTACCTAACTCTTTTTGTGCTAAGCTATTAGCAATTATCCCTCTTCTGCTTGTTATCCCAATCAATTCAATAGTTACTATCCTTACAAATAGCTTGATTGCAATTAAATCCTTACTCAACTTTTCTACCTCAAAACTTATTTAAGTTAAAAACTGGAATATAATCTCTATAATTAACTCAATCGAATCTACCAAAAATATCTTTATTAATATTATCAAAGTCAAATCACATTCAACCAATTCTCTTCACAATCAAGCTGATTTACTGGCCAAATAAGGCACTGCCAAACCCCTTCTAACAATCTCTCACACATACTTTAACCTTCCTATCTACTTCTTTTAAAACAATTATATTATTACATTCATAGCACATTCTTTTATCAAAAACATTATTACAATCCAAGAACTTATATGCTAGTCATCTCTTAAAATTTTTAACAACTACACATCAGATATAAATTAGAATCTAACTTTTAAAGTACTTAACTTCTTAGAATATAACTCTCATAAATATTTTTTTTATATTAAAATCCTGACAAATAATCTTCCAATAATGCAAAATCTCAATATTTGCTATCCAAATATATATACAACAAATAAATATTGTAAATACCCTCTAACCAAAAATTCTCTTCATATACTCCTATGCTTCAAAAATACTGAAAATATTTAGCAATCACTTATTAATATAACTACTAATACACTTCAACAACTTCAAACTACATTTATTCAACCTATCACACTTCTTAATGCTCCTTTATTACCAATAAACAACTATCCCAACACACAATACAACTCTCTTATCCCTACTATTCTTGAAATATATTCTAAAACAATATATCAAAATACTAAAACTTTAATTAAAAAACAAACAAAACCTATACTTATTAATCTCTCTAATAATCTTCTACACTGGTTCTACTATGATATATGGTCTAAATGCAACTCTTTTCAATACCAATAGGAAATATTACATCTAAAACCAAGTGTATTAAATTCTCTACACCTCTATTTACTAACCAAACAACTCTTCATAGACCTCATTTACAACCAATCTATTTATGCAATGCTATTAAAAAATGGTACCTACAAGGCTTTCCACTAACAACTTGTTTTTTATAATATAATGATTAATACTTTAAAGTTTTCTCCAACCTATCTTAGCTAGAATTACTTTATTTATTTAAATTTATAATAGTATTAGATAGGGAATAGGAGGTGTAATGTTATATTAGATACTCTGTAGCAAGAAATGAGCACGTATAGGATTTGTGTGTAATTCTGTGCAGGATCCTAGTGTAATGTATAGAATTTTTTTAGATCCTGTATAGGATTTTTAATATGATTCTAAATAAAATTATCTGGCTAGCATTATCAAATTATCTGGCTAGTATTAATAAAATTTCTGGTTTGCATTAATATATCAATATGTCTGTATCAAATTTATTTGTCTGTTATTGTTTTATATATACATATTATGTTTAATGTAGATATATACGCTTCTATATAGAATCTATTTGTTTGTATTTGTTTTACATATATATATCATTATTTCATATAGATCTTTGCACTTCTACGTAGAATTTTTTGTTTGTATCACTTCTATATAGTATATATTTATTTATTTATTTTATAAATCTTTTTACATGTATATATATATATGTATACAGTATACATATATGTATTTATATAATAAAATTTTAATTTTTTGCCATTGATATCTTTTGCTTACTAAAAAATTTTCTTTACTATATATAATAAATCAAAATATTATTAAGTTATTCATTTTAATAATAACTATAACATGGGTAATAATCATAATATTTGGAAATATTTTACAAAAATTGAATCAGATAAAAACTTCATGCAAGAACATGCCCAATATAATTACTGTGATTATAAATATAATGAATCAGTAGTAAGGTGTGAAGGACATTTAAGAGTATGTGATTATGCTGTTTTAGAAACTAAGCAACAATATTTTGGATCTATATTTCAAGAACCAGAAAAAAAACCCCAGTAATAAATATTAATAAACAAAAAAATACAAGTATTCAAAATTTTCTTGATCAAATTTCTCAATCTAAACAAGATGATATTGAGTTACTTTACAGAAATTAATAATTTTTTATAATATCATAATTAAGTAGTCACTAGATTGTTACCAAATTGATAATAGTTTTTTTTTATATTAATATAAAATCATTACGATGAAGTTATGATTATGATAACTACATCGTAACAATATTATATCATTATTTAAAATAAATCAAATTGCAATAATACAACAATAGATTTACGATTATGTAACTAGATAGTTACAAATTGATATGATTATTTTTTAATATTAAAATAAAATTACTACAATGAAGTTACGATTAAAGTAACTACATCATGACAATATTATAACAATATTGTGATGGTATTATAACTATTTACCAATAATTAAGCAGCTATATATTCGTGATTTAG